GTAGCAGAAATAAAGAATTTATTTGAAAGGGCATGAAACCAATTGCTACGGCGATTGCACAATAAACAATTTTTCGTGGCAGTGCCTTCAGAAACGACAACGGTTTCATCTTTAACGCACTAACTCTGTCATTGCGTAATAGAATACCGCATTGATCTGCCTATTTTTAACCACTTCTGTCGTTCGCTAACTTAATTAATCAATTATCTTTCAGAGGATGCATAGATTTCGCCAATATTCAAGCTTAGTACAATACCCCTTAGTTCGAATGAACGTTGCAGGCTTCTCCTTCTCGAAATCGATATTGTTTTTTTCAATTCATGACGACATATATAGTAGTTAGTTAGAGTAATCCAAAAATCTGTCCTTAAAATCAATTTCTGGTATCAAATATGTTCAACAATTTACTCATGGTTTGTTTGGGCAGTTTAATAGGAACTAGCGTTAAGATAGCAGACGTTTTCTCGCGTTCCCTTGGTTCCTAACCATAAGCGACTAGCGTTCTGTCCTGTACATCCGCACGAGCGGTCTTTACGGGTTAACTGGGTACCTGCGGATAGCAACTAGTTAACTAGTAAATCTTCTGGTAACTAGTTAAATAGCCAAACAGACGGAGGCCTGACAGAGTGCTTTAACCTTGACGGAGTGACTCACCTGCCCCTACTGTGTTTAGTGAAGTAAATAACAGCCGGTTTTTTACCTTCAGTTTATTCACCTCGGCAGGGGGAGGGCATCAATGCCGGCCGCAAATCGACTCTGTTAGTGCTGGTACTCCTTAATCCTGACAGCCACTGACGATTATTTATCCACCACCACCCCACCCCACCCCCTTTTATTTCGCATTTGACTTGAAACAAGTGTTCGCGAATGGGTGGCGTTACCGGGCGCGCTTTGTGATTATTTTACACTTGGAGAGCGATTCAGTCGGCTGGCACAGTCAAACTTCAGCCGACTGACAGTGCACTGGTTGTTTTAGTGCGTGCTGTTAGACAGGCGAGGAGGGGTTCGGAAA